CCATAAATCTTACAGCAGGACTCAGCTACTGTTCTTGGACTTGGGAACACCTGACTTTGAAGCTGGCTCACACTCAAAATACTTGGAAAGGTGTCTAGCACACTTCATCCTAGAGAGCAGATCTCTTTGAAGGGCAGCGACTAGCTATTGCCAGCACTCAAGCCAAGCGCTTGGAGTACTCCAAGTATTTGAGGCAGCCTTGACGCCTGCTCAGGCACTTGCAGCTCAGCTCTGCAGCGGCCCCAAACCTCCCAGAGCCAGCAAGTCACTTTAGAGCAGAACCTGACGCAGTTTCCCCTGCAAGGCAAGTGAAGCTACCAAGCTCTCAGGACATTCAAAGCATCTATTCATTTCTTTTTACATTGGCTTTAATATTACACTATTAAAATAATAAAATATTTACCACAGAAAATCAGTTACATGCAAAACACACACCCCTCTATCCATCCACCAGTGTGTCTGCTTCTTCATAAGGCTATGATTTTATAGGCAAAGAGGTGGAAGGAACACAAAAAGACAGCACTGATCTTCTCATTTCTAACTACCATTTATACATGTTGTAGGCACCACGAATACCAGCACTAGCTCCAGAAGAGCTTTGCACAGGACCCGCACAGAGAAGCACTGAGCCTGCTGCACACTGGCTCTTCACAGGGTGAGCACTGTTAGCAACCTTGCTTTGGCACAAACCTGTGTCTTCTCTGCAGCTATGGACAGAGCTTAAAGACCACATGTTCTGCTCCATGATTCTATTGATTTCCAAGACATTTATAGAAACCATTCACTGCTGTGCGGATTACTGCTGTACAAGCCATGTCCTAGCCATTGGAGATCAGGTGTCCAGTTTCTTTGCACACTGGTTCCTGCAGAGACCATTGGCAACTGCAGACATATTTTGAAGTCTTATTTCTAGGTCTGTGATGTCATCCCCAACCTTCAAGTGCACCTTGCCCATACAAGCAGCCTTTAAAAACAACTTGGCATTTGGCTCTGGGCCCTCTCCCAGGGCCCGTCTTTCTTGTGAGGCAGTCAGGTACCCTTAGGGAAACACCTACAAAGGACAGAATCGGTTCTCAGCACTGTCAGATGGTCTTGCAGATGACCTGAACATTCTTCGTCAGGAAGCCCTTTTGAGACAGCCAAGAAGGATGCAGCAAAAGGTTCCTTTGAGAGTTTGCCAAACCTCCAAGCAGGCACATCCCTATCTTATACATGCACATATGCAGATAGAAAGCTGGTATTCCTTCAAGGGGGATTTGCAAGAGTTTCCACTCCCTCCAGCAAAAGAAAAGAGAAACAAAACATACAAATGCAGCAATTTCCCTAAGCTAAATATAGGAGCAGGAATTTTTTTCAATCTCTCATTCACACGAACGATCTGACTCTCCAGGTCAGCAGCATGAGGTCACTGCAAGCCCCTGGCCACCCCTTGCCCTGCCTTTCCTTCTCCCAGCTCCACTCCTGCTCTCCCCCAAGACCTGGTGTCTCTGCAATGTACTGTCCCTTCCCGCCATCCTCCTCCCGTTTCCCAACGGCCCTGCAGTCTCCACTGCTTCCTCCCCACCCGCCTGCTCCCTCACTCCTTCTCAGAGAGCTAACAGAAAGCAGATTTCTGCCAGCACCAGTTTTCCTCTTTCCTTGATCTGGTGGCCAGCGCCTCGCCAGGGGCTTGGGAAAACTCAAGGCAGTGATGGCAACCTTCTCCCAAGTTATCCATAACTCAGCCTGGCCATATCTCGTGGGACACGTGGACTGGAGTCCACGAGTCAAGTCCTTCCTGATCACGTAAGCGCGCCTAGTCTAGGTGATAAAGAGGATGCTGCATGGAGGAAAGAAAACTCCATTCATAAATGGAAACAAATTTCCTTTTTGCTACAATATCCTCTTTTCATGCTGCTGCAAGAGTAAGTGAAAAGAGCAAACAGTGCCATCCCTCCCATACTGGGTCATTTCTCAATTCATACTCTGCTCTCTGCCCAAGACCCAAAGCTATTGAAGCAAGAGTGCAATAGCTTCCTATGCATTAAATGCATACTTAGAGAGAGAAAAAGAGAGAGAAGAAAGAAAGAGAGGCAGATAAGAATACACCCTTTTTTGCACTGCCAAGAGAGGCCTGATCAGTGTGAAATAGAAAATTAACATGAACTTTTATAGACACCGTGGGCTAACAGTGTCTATACACTGTGGGACAAGATGTGCAGACTGAATATGTAACTGAAGAGGCATTTCCATGCAAGCTCTATTAAATGCATTTTGGGAAGAAAGGCGTTATCTGTTGAGAGGTTAAGACTTAGGTGTCACTGCCTGAGCACGGCAGCCTTTGGAGCTCACTGCTCCATGACCTGGAAGAGTGGAAGTCTCAGACGCAGTTAAATTCACTCTCCAGAAGCCCACACAGGCTAACATAAAAGGCCATGGCTGCTGAATAAGAAACCCACTATAAAAAGTGGTTAAATAATTCAAATTTCAAATAATTGGATGCCCCAAGTATTTTGAGTGTCACTAGGCTAATATTTGAGGAATTTAAGGTTGTTGAACAGCAGTATGTTGTGGTCTGATTTTCAGTGGAATTTATTCTGTTTAAAAGGTTTTTTTTGGCTCCC